GGAATTAAATAAGATGGAAATCACACCTCAACCTCATCCTCAGTCACTGGAGAGACACTGTTGTCATCAAAGTAGTGCCACTGGCCACTGTCCTTGTTGCAGGCAAATGTAGTGTCTGGAACAGAGGAGAAAGTTGTCCATACGTTTATGCCTCCAAGGTTGCATCCTGACTCACTCATTCCTCCTACCCTGATGACAACCTCAGCATCGGTTGACATTCTTAAGTCACCTCCTAGAGACCATCCTCACACACCCCAGCTTAGATGCCCACCCTTGCCCAGGGAAGCCCCTGCCCACAGCCTGGTACATACAGTGACCATCACGCAGGCCTCCGTAATGGTTTGAAACCGCAATGAGATCGTATTTGTAAAGTCCTGGCTCAGATTCGCTCTGGGGTTTGATGACAAACTCAGAGAGATCCAAGTCCCTGAGGGTAGAAAGAGGGTTAATAATGGTGCACGCGGTCACTCCTCAGTCAACACCCTCCCCCACCTTAAGCACCCCCTACCGGATAGGAAACTCCACGAGGAGGTCCAGCTTCTCTCGGGAGAACTTGGTGTAAGAAAAGCGCTTCAGGTGGATGATCAAGATCTCGGGCAGCATCCACAGATCCAGTTTCTTGGTGGCCAGCCGGTGCTGCTTACAGTTAGGGCAGTACCTACAGACAGGGCAGGGCCCAAGGTAGTAAACGGACCTTCTCGGAAGGAACCTAGTTTGTGGTCTTTGTTTGTTACTGGTGCAGAGAGATGCTGGGTCTTACTTTTATCAAAACCCTGGTTTGCTCTCCTTACATGTTAAAATCTTATCATTCATTCATAAATTTATCTATTACCTTTTATATGTAAGATTCTGTGCTATTTGGAGCCTGCCCCTTTCTCGCTTAGTTTTCGTCTCATGTTTTAACTTTCATTTATTCACCATATACTTGATTAACTATTGTTTAGTCCGTTGTTTAATCCTTTCTGCTCCATTTCTGGTACATGGAGATGCTGGTCTTATTTTTGAGACTGGGTTTATCTTTTTGGTTCTTATGTTTTGTTTACTCTGCAATCTATTGGGCATCTACTGGACACCCAACATTAGTGTAAGCAGTGAAGACTAAACACACAGTGAACTTAAGTCTTTACCTTTAGGGAGTTTATTCTACAACAAAGGCAAGCAATATTGCAAAAAGGAATGTATGACGCAACCTTGTGTGCTATTATTGAGCTAAAGACAAAGGTTTGACCAGGAAGAGTGAGGAGGAGGAACAGAGAGGGGATGGATGGGTGGAGGGGATGGTTTTTTAACAAGGCAGTAAGAGAAGAGCTCTCTGAAAAGGTGACATTTGATCACAGACCCACGTAAAGGAATAGAAGCCTACCGACAACTGAGGGAAGAGCATTCCAGACAGCACAAGCAGCCCTGTAGTGGGACTATGCTATGGTATTGATGGCAAGTGTGGCAGGAGCTTGAGTGGAGGGAAAGGGAAATGTACTGAAAAGAGGTAACGTGTAGTCACATCCACCATGAACCCCTATTTGCTCCCATCCTTGTTCCTTACTTACCAAGGGTTTTCTTTCTCCAGAGTCTCAACAGTGGTGAAGAGCTCAATGCACTCCTGCAGCTTCACCGGAGCTTTCTTCAGCACATAGCTAACACATTCATGCTTCACGTAGCCCTAGAGTGGGGTGAGTGGACAGCTGGTTTTTATGACAGGTAGATTAATAAGGAGTGAAGCAGACATGGAAGACATATTCCAAGTGGTCAACAATATGGATTTCTGAAGCTAGAAACTTGAGGCCCTGAAGTTCTTAGTGGATGTTCAGGTTCCAAAGCTAGGTTGGACCTGGACCTGAGTCTATCTGTGTTCACGGCTGAAGGAGTTGGGACAGGGAATATGTGAAAGAAGTTGAGGAGGTACAAGATGTAAGTGCTCCCCCATCCTGGGACCTCTTTTACCTCCGCTTCCACCTCGTTGTAGTAACGCTTCTTCATGTCTGGCTCCCAGTCGATGGCAATGTACGGCTGGGCTGTAGGTGAGGGGTGGGTGGTCAGGAAGACCTGTTGCTAGGAAAACCCGCCACCCACCTCCCAACCCTGGCTCACAGCTGAAGGAGACACCATGGCCATCTTCATTGAAGGTCAGGCGGTCACTGGTCCCGTTGGAATTCACGGTCTGCAGGGTAAACAGGTGCTTGCGCCGAGATCTCTGAGGCCAGTTAGAAGGTCCAGGGGAGTTGTCTGCAGGAGCCCGGTTCCTGCCCATGACTCCAGAGCTGGGCCCAGCCTGGTCCAGGCCAGGGTCTTGAGGGTTGCCTCCAGCGGTTTGTCCAGACTTGGAGGGGTTGTTACCCTTATTCCCGCCATCTCCTTAGATAGGGGGAAATGTCAGATATGGACCTTTCTGAACCCCAAGGGGCACAGGAACAATGTATAACCAGACAGACCATGTACAGGAAGCCCTACTGCAGATAAACCTCCTCCCCCTCCTCCCTTAACCCATGAGGTCATTTGTACAGGCCCTTATCTTTGTGGAGCCCCTCTCCCTCCTCCTCTTTACCTTTGTCATCCCCGTCATCGTCATCATCAGAGCTGGGCCTGGCCACATAGCGCCTGCCAAGAAAGGAGAGGTGCTGCTCAGGTGAGGGCCACAAGAGCGGCAATGCGCAGCATCTGGGGTTTCATTGTAATTATGAAGGGATGCGACTGGTAAACCTACACATTAAGTAGTAGTTCACTATGAACCAAGAAGGCTGCAGGCGGTAGCACATGAAGAGGTTTGATAATACTAGTTGTGTGCTAACAGTAAGGAGTTTGGCCCTTAAGAATGTGAAGCCACTAGGAAACAAACACAAAGTTGGACAGGGGTGGCCTCTGGGTGGACTTATAAGACAGGAGAGACTAAACCCGAAAACGTATGACTTTGCCACAGAAAGGAATCTAGATTTGAACTACAATGAAAATTTATCAGTAAAAACACTTAGGCCTCCGCATAAGAGTAAATTAAGCACCAGATGAAATGGCCTGTGGTTCAGGGTGGGGAACCCAAAAGTTTAGAAGCCAAGCCTACACGCGAAGTTCCCACCTAGGTTAAATCATCCTAGGGCCCTGTTAAGTTTCAGCTGTCTTTTGGATGTGGAAGGAATACTATGAAATAAGCAGCTAGAGACCCGGGTCTGTTTCAAATTCCCTGTCCCCTTCTCCCTCAGGGAAGGGATATACTCACGAGAGGCGGTACAGCAGGATGTGATACAAAGCATCCCAGGTAAGCCGGTCACGGGGCACAGAGAGCAGGAGAGGGTGCCCAAAAAGCATCAGGCCATAGTAAGAATTGTTGAAATCTCGGGCTGGAGAGCGCTCCCGCAGGTAGATAGGCAGCACAATATCCTCTCTCATGCCCTCGTCGTTCCCAGCCCTGGGTGACACCTCATAGCTGTGGGAAGTGAGCATCAGGTCCAGCCTTATCAGGATATCCAAAGGAGCAGCCCCGGCCTCTACCTCCCTGTTCCATCTACTTACCCCCCACAGGTTGATAAGGATTTTTAAGAGATGTGAAATATCTTTCAATGTTTTGTGCTTTTAAAAAACCATTAGCTACATGTGTGTGCATTTTGTGCATATTATTTAAAATATTTTATCATTGTCAGAGTACTAAGGGGATTAACAGAAATTTTCAGTGAAAAGGGGGGTTAAATGCTTTTTGTCTTTAAATGCTTTTTTTCGTATTAATTTCCTTTTTTTGAACAGCAACAACTGCTTGGGTTACAAAGAACTGTTCTACTTAAAAAGCACTACTTAATTTAGTTCTACTTAAAAAGCACTAAATTTAGTTTTTACTTAAAATTTTAGTTTTTCTTTTTCCTGAATGATCTCGTGTCAAGAACACATCTTAGTGTTAGCTATTTTAAAACACCTTTTTAACTAATCTTCAAACATCATATGGAATGGCAAAGTGCCCTGAATAGCTAAAACAATGTTAAAAGAGAACCAAGTTGTAGGATTCTCACATTTACTGATTTCTAAAACATACTATAAGGAACCCTGGTGGCGTAGTGGTTAGGAGTTGGGCTTTGAACTGCAAGGTCAGCAGTTCAAAACCACCAGCCACTCAGCGGTAGACAGGGCTTTCTACTACTCCCGTAAAGAGCTACCATCTTGGAAACCCACAGAGGCAGTTCTACCCTGTCCTACAGGATCACCATAGTCGGAATAGACTAGATGGCAGGGGGTGTGGAGCTTGACATGCAGCTATAGTAATCCAAACAGCTCCTTACTGGCATCACAAAGAAACACAGACCACTGGAATAGAACTAAGAGTTCAATACCCATTTATAAACTATCAAGGGCTCATGAGGGAGGGGGGAGCAGGGAGGGAGGGGAAAAATGAGGACCTAATGCCGGGGATTTAAGTGGAGAGAAAACGTTTTGAGAATGATGAGGGCAATGAATGTACAAATGCGCTTTACACAATTGATGTGTGTATGGGTTGTGATAAGAGTTGTATGAGCCACTGATAAAATGATTTAAAAAAATAAAAATAAAAAATAAATAAAACTTTTAAAAAAAGAACTGAGTTCAGAAATACACCTGCAATAGATTTTTGATAACAGTGCTAAATCCATTTGATGGAAAAAGAGGACAGTCTTCAATAGTGGTGGTAAAACTGGATTTCCGCATGCAGAAAAAATAGGATCCATGCCTTTCACCATACATAAAATCAAATTAAAATAGACTAATTAAGGATCTAAATTTACAAACTAAAACCAAGAATGTTCTTAGCAGAAAAGCAGGGGCAACACTGCCAGGCCTCGCGTTTCTCAATGGATTATCTAACAAAGCACCAATAGCAGAAGACTGAAGAGATAAAAATTTTAAATTCTTGTTCATCAAAAGACTGCCTGAATTTACCATCAGGAGGCTATATTCAGAAATCTTATGAAAGAGCTTCAAAGAGTTTGGGGGGTGGGGGTGGAATTTTCCCACGATTTCTGAAACCCTTGTGTATACCTGACAAACATCGAACAACCAAAAAAATATATAAAACTTTGACAGCTGGAGCAACAAAACCACAAATAATCCAATCAGAACATAAGCAAAACTAGATGTTCAACATATAGTAGGTGGCAGCAGGATGCAACCCCAAACCAGCAACAAAGTATCATGTTATTCTCAGCAGGATGGCGGGGTAACAACAAACAACAAATGTTGCCCACTATGTGGAAAAACTGGAGCGCTTATCCACTGCAGGCAGGGATGCAAAATGGCACAGCCAATGTGTAAAACAGTGGACGTTCCTCAAAAAACCATCACTAGGACGGCCATATGACTCAGCAATTCCACTGCGGAAGCCGTGCGGGCAGCTATGCTGATTGCAACGGCATTCACGATCTGAAAAAGGTAGAAATCACCTAAATGTTCACCAGCAGATGACTCAAACACTCAAACTCACTGCCATCACATTGTCAATTCTGATCCTAGTGACCCTCCCTGTTGGACAGGGTTGAACTGCCCGTGAGTTTAGCTTACCAGTAAAAAAGATCTGTCTTGAGCATTATGCTGTGTTAAGAATTGTCTACATGGGATCTAGGACAAGAGTAACCTGGAAGATTAGACAGGCATCTTCAAGGAGGGTGAGAAGGGTAGCATAACTCAAAAGCATGAAACCAGTGTCATAAAATTGTACTTGGAGAAATTTGAATTGGTTTATGTTTTGCTGGATGTTCAACAAAATTAACAAAACTCAGAAAATGAATTTTTTGGAGGATTGCCATAAGGAGTTCAGATCATTATGTAACTAATACATTCCTAGAAAGTAGCATCCTTCATGTAATAAGGAAGAAAACCTTGAGGCTATCCTGTACAAAAGACCCTTGTCCAGCCCCACCCCCGCCGAACCCTCCAAGTGTTCTGCCCGGCTAAGGCCCTGCTCGGGGTTGGCGTCCAGTGACTAAGGAAGAGAAGGGAAAAGATAAGGTGGTTAAGATGGGGCCATACAAAAGAAAGATGAGAAAGTTCCTGAAGAACAACCATATCCCTAGGCCCCCTCACTCACATGAAGATATCATCTCGGTCTAAGATGCTACTCAGAGGGTCATCCAGCTGATAAATCTTATAGAAGCGGTGACTGAAGACATCGGCCACCATCATCTGGGATGGGGATGCAGAGAGAGGACTAGTCAGTCTTCAAAGGTCTCTCCATCCCTACTCCTGAATCCCGCCCTCCCTCCATCTGTAGATCCTCACCCTGTCTGGCGGGACACCAGTGTGCTTGGACAGGGCCACACACAGATCCGAGACTTTGCCTTTCTTGGGAACAATAAGCCGGTGCTGTTGGGAGAATACATATACAGAAAAGATCAGAAGAGGTGTGTGGTGGGTTTCAGTCATAAACAAACTCCAACCACACGTCCTTCATCATTAGCCCCCATGGTGCTATTCCTCCCATACCTGCTCTGGCTTGCGGCGGGGATCCATGGAGACGTAGAAGACCTCCATGACCCTCTTGGGGTTGACAGGCAGCGGAACGCTGAGGTAGCAGAAGGGGTCGAAGGTCACAGACACATTGCCACAATCAGGGCACACCAGCGTCGACTTGAAGAGGCCGTGGAAAGTGTCCACAATCACAGAGTTGTTCCGCCGCTTATGGTTATACCAAGCCTCCTCAGCCACCACCTGCCAACACGGTCAAGGTAGGGGGAGCTTTGACAGGGATTTGGAGTATACACATATGGAGTACAGCTTAATGTCAGGACCATTACTGAGGTCAAGAAGTAGAGTTACAGCCAGGGATACTGTTCACTATTAGGGATGGGATTGAATTTGTGCAGGAGACTGGGTTGAGTAAGGGAACACAAAGTGGTATTGGAACTAAGGTTGGGACTGGAATAAGAGGTAAGTTCAGGATGAAAAAAATTGAACAGAGAATGGTGGTGGGTGCTGCACATCCCAGGGAGGAGGATAGTGACTCCCTAAGGCACGAGATTGTAGCAGCTTTAATGGGGGAGTCTCGGGATGAGTGCTCTGGAGAGAACCAGAGCTAGTGGATGGGATTCTCAAAACAACGTACCAGATCAGGGCGCCCAGCAGCATCACAAAGCTCCACATACTCTTTCTTCTTGACTCGATTGAGGTCCTCATGAAGCCCATCAAGGAGGAATGACAGCAGCTCCTGAGAGTCGTGCTGCTGATAGCCCAGAAACTGGGATGCAAAGTGGCCCACCTTGGTCTGGGAGAGGGAATAAGGCCATGAAAGACAAAAGTTAAAGAGACCCATGAGAAATGTATGTTATGGGAGAGAGAGAGGGGCACCCAGGTGACTCTCACCTTAAACGCGTGGGGCACAATGGAGCAGTGTTGGCCAGACCATGCCTGCTTCACCAGGTCTGCGTAGGCCTCTGCAATCTCACCCTTCATGCCCAGCGGATTGCCGAAGTTGAGCTCCTCCAGGTAGCGATTGGTGATGAAGTACTCGGTGAGCTGTGGCACATTGCTGAGGCACTGCAGTAGGCAGGTGCCAGGTAAGTGAGGCAGAGGAGAGAGGCGGCGGCCATGATGGGAACAAAGAAAAAGGAATCGAGGCAGTCACAAAAAGGATGAAGAAAGAAGGGACAGGGGATGGGAGAACCAAGAAATCAATCATCAGCAGAAGGTGGTGGCAAAGGAGAGGGAAAAAGGAACGCAGGGGACCAGCAGAGGGAGGAATCGAGGTTTCAAGAATGGGGGCATGTCAATTCAGATTTGTGGGACCCTAGCTCCAACCTCCCCTTGCCCTGTATGAGTGGGGGCCCTCAGCCTCCGGTCCCCTAGAGTTCCACCCCCAACCCCAGCTCTTGAAGCTCATCTGGCTACCAGACACAGCCCCAATGGGCTAACCTGCAGAGCTGAATTCATGAAGCACGTGTTGCCCAGATTGGTGAGGCCACAGATGCCCGGCTGGCCCTGGAGCTCTTCCTCTTCCTTTGACACATTCTTCCTGGGGTTGGATGAAAATTACCATCAGCTGAGGGACTACTACATGCATGGGAAATTTGCTCACAGGCTCAATCCTCCTACAATTCCGCCACATTTCCTATGGTGGAATCCCACTTTGGACCAGACACCCCAAGGCTCACAGGACGTACTTCTTTGAGCTCGGTGGCGAAGTGCCATCTTTGTCTCGGGTCTCCATGACGATCACTTGGATTGGAGAAAGAAAAAAAAGAAAAGGAATGAGTCATGAAAGGCGTTATGGGTACCTAGCTCTCACTTCCCCCAACCCAAGCACTGCCAGGTGATCCCCATCTCCCAGTCCAGCAAAGTCCTCCCCTGCCATTCTCACCTGCCCAATCTTGAGATGGACGTTCAGTATGGTAAGGTGAAGAGCCGTCAGAGTGCTCAATCCACAGCCGTGTCTCTGCCTGGGGGTTCACCGGAAACTGCTCCCAAGCTGTGTGCAACACCGAGTCTGTGGAGAGGGATGGAGCACAAACAAGATCTTCCTGAAACCCAGGATTGACCCATCAGACCCGACTCGTCACCATTTGTCTTGCGTCTTTGGTCAAGACCTAAATCAGAAGCATGTGTCCTTTATCAATCTCTACATGATTGATCCCTTCCCGGGCTTCAGAGCCCCAGAAAACCGGCCACGTCTCCGAAATGCAGTTCGTCTCGTCAGTCTGTAGGAGCCACCCTCACTGACTCTCCAACAGTGAACCTTCGGTGACCGTCTTGGGGCTCCAAAGTCTGAACCAATGCCTCCTCAGTCTGCCAGAGCCTAAGCCGTGCAGCCTTGGGGCCCCAAGTGGTGGTTGGGAACATAAATTCATTTTCTGACAGTTAAACTCACAAAAGACAATCTGTATGACTGAACTGCGCAGTGTGAGGCGTGCCCAGATCACTGTGCTGAAAAAGCAGCAGCTCTACTACGTACACCTCAGTCTTTTGAAGGGTGGGCAGCTCTACATCGGCAAAGGTGTGAAGTACATACATAGGTATGCCTGCACCGCATAGACACACAGGCAGAGCAGACACGCTAGATGGTGGTGGTGAGTGATTCCAAAAAAGCTCACGGAAACAAAATGAAAAGATAACAATTTTCCCATGAACTTTATTTTGTAAAACATGTACAGGTGAACCCTGAGGGACTCATGCAAGGGTGCACCCGTGCGATATACACAGAGACTTATGGGTCTACACCTATCCAGGCCCTAACAAGACCTTCCCCTCCCACACCGCCCACAAGAGCTACTTCCCCAAGTGCTCTCCCCGTACCTTGCCTTCAAGGAGTGGCTGGCCATGTCTTAGACCACTACCAACTGGCCAAGTAATGCCTGGGAGCAACACACAGCCCTCACCTACCACCAGAGCCTTCTTGAAGTGCCAGCTTACCTGGTGTGGGGTGGGGGTGAGGCAAAGGACGCATCATAAAAGGAAATTACCAAGTAAATCTGGGCATCCCAGCACTGACTGCCATAGAGGAAGTATCTGTGATATGTAGGGCTAGAGATGACAAGAACTCCAGGGCTAGGTAAATGTGGGAGGCAGAGGCTTATCATTGTTGATTGAATTGAGCAATGTGGTCCAGACTCGGTCCCCTCCCTGCATGTACACTGCCCACTGTTTATACCAATGTTGTTCCACAAGGAACGGGGCCCAGACATGCAACTAAAGTGCGCCGCATTCATATGGGGCTTAGCTGTACAAGCTCCAAAGGTTAGAATGCACTCCAAGTATCAGTATGTTCTCATTCAAGTATGAAATGTAAGCGCCCCCCCACCAAACCTGGTAATTTACAATAAAATACCTATCTTTAAAAAGTTGGAATTCAGGATGCAAATAAATTAGTATCAAAATAACTAGTCACGAAGTGCAGATTCAATATTAAGTTACCAACTTCTTAGGATACTGAGATTTCAGTAAAAACAGAAAATTGTGTTCAATAATGTTCCCCCACCCCCAAACCCCACTAATAATGCTGAAGCGATTTATTTGTATATTGATAATTAAATTAGGTTAAAAATATCTGTCATTTATAGCTGTTCTATAATGTACTAAGGCTTTATTTAGCTAGTGGTGTATTGGGTTATGTGTTGAGATGCTACCAGGTCAGCAGTTCAAAGCCACCTGCCGTTCCTCCTAGAGAGATTCCTACTATTGCAGTTAATTTCTGATACCCAGAGGCAGTTCTACTTTATCCTATAAGGCTGCTATGAGTTGGAATTGACTTGATGGCAGTAAGTTTTGTTTTTGGAAGTCTCTGGTCATTATCGTCTTTTAATATAAGCAGTATACTTAAAACAGCACTTAAAATTAAAATCAGATTAAAATACAAGACTTTAAAAGCATTTATATATGTGTGTATGTATATATATACACATTATTTCCCTATGAAATGAATTTAAGAAATTCTGAAAATCTGCCCAGAAAATGAACAGAATTTAGAAAGCTTCTTTAAAAAGAAAAATCTTACACTACAAGGAGAAACATTTAGGATTGTTTTGAAACTTGCCTTTGTAATATGTCATCAGAACTTCCAAAGTAGCTGTTTTCACTCCTCTAATCATAGGGCTTAAATAGAGAAGCTAATGTACACAGAACATTCTGTAATGAAGGTTTTAACACATAAAATTGTCTCAAATATTTAAGAACCTACAATACTTTACAAAATAAAATAATTGTATTGAATGGTCTTGTAGCATGAAATGTTATTCTTTTAAAAAGCCTATTCTCCCTTGCTTTATAAAAGGATCAGAGTTAAGGTAATGAAGGCAAGCAACAAAAATCACCTGAAGAGGCAACATTTGGGTCTTTTGAGGGGTGGGGTGGGGGGAGATCACTCAGCTCTTGATTTCCTAGAGTCCCAGCCCAGTCAAGGAAACGGTTGTTTCAATCACAGTGCTAGGGATACATCCCCCCCCTTCCTGTGGTAGCTCACACCACAGACCTACTGCTCATCCCAAATAGCCAATCTCAGGGGCTCTGCCCTCCCTCTGTCACACCCACCTGCCTCATTGCTCTAATTTCCTTTGGTCCGTCTGTGTGGTTAATCTATTCCTTGAAGCTTATTTATAGTTAATGGTTCTTCAATGTAAAAGCCACTGTTAAAACAGGACAGGATGATTCAATCTCTGCCATCCCAAGTGGCAGTCACGATGAACAAAAGTAACCTAAGTATGTGATAGCCACAAGGCACTCCATGGGAAAAAGACGTAGTACTGTTTCCGTAAAGACCCACAGACTTGGAAACCCTATGGGACAGTTCTACTCTTCCATGGGGTTGCTCAGTTGGAATTGACTAGAAAACAATGAGCTTGGATTTCTCTGGTACCATGAATGTTATCTTTTCGATTTAAAATTTCCCTATAAAAATACAACCAATCTTGTGAAAAGTCACTATTTTTAATTGCAAAAGGATCCCTAGTGATGCAACGGGCTAAGTACTGGGCTGCTAACAGCAAGATTCGTGGCTTGCTCCACAGGGTTGTTTTTGTGCTTCCTGAAACTTGTTGAAAGGGGGGGGGGGATGTGCTCATGAAAGTGACTAAACAATTCCTTGTCTTGTGTCTTTCAGGTTTCGCTTCCATCTGGAGAAAAGAAAATTGGCTATTTTGGTACAAGCTGGTTAATTGCACTAGAAAGGTATGTGTAAATTTCCTTCTGGGGGGGAGGGTGGGGAGCAGGGAGGGAGGGGGAAAAAATGAGGAGCTGATGCCAGAGGCTTAGGTGGAGAGCAAATGTTTTGAGAATGATGAGGGCAATAAATGTACAAATGTGCTTTACACAATTGATGTATGTATGGATTATGATATGAGTTGTATGAGCCCCTAATAAAATGATTTAAAAAATATTTTCTTCTTTATTAAATTAGTAACTTATTCAAATGGTAAATGTAGACACATTAGTCTATTGAAATTATTAATTACACATCTGTAAAAGCCTAAGTACATACATATAAAAGCACATTAATAACCCTTAACTATAAATTGCTACTCAAATAATATAGCAAATTAGGAAAATTAGATGGGTTTTCTCTATAACATTACTGATTATCCTAACTCTTAGTGCTTTTTCTTACATACCCTTAATTCCTTCTTTTAATATAACTTGTTTTTGAAGAGATTCTTGAAGGAAAAAAAAGATAAGCTAATAATGTTCATGGTTGATTGCCATTTTATAAAACAATGTTGACTGAAATATTTCACTTTACTTACACCTTATATCATTCCTTTAACAGCTGTTCTTGATTGCGTCTTTTCCAAATTCAGAACACCACCACTATTAAATGCTCTTTTAGACCTAAACTATCTTCCTTTCTATAGAAGGAAGGGCAATAGGAAAAATTAGGCTTAACTAAAGCTCTTCAAATGTTGGTTTTCTTATGAAAGCCTTTTCATATATCAAACAATATTAATGATATATCAAGAAAAGTTTATTTTTCTAAGTTGCTTCCCCCTTCACATTCCAAGCCCAGCCACTGTCCTGTTACCCCCAAATTACTAACCTTCATTAAGACTATCAACATCCTGCACAATTCTCCCAGACTGACCTTTGAGGTATCCCCAATATAACTGTAGATTTATGACACAAAGAGAGGAGCTAAAAACTGCCAAAGAGGCTATAATAATCCGAGTTTGAATTTATTCAGAAAAGGCTTTCCCCCAGAAACTACATCTATTCACATGGCTAAAAGAATCCATGCCCTCACTCAGCTCTGCCAGCTGACAAACTAGAAAAGTACAAATATTAATGCTAACGTGATAAGACTTCGAGTTTGTGGAAAAAACAAAATTAACTAAAAGACAATGGAATTTTCCATGAAATTTTAGAAGCCCCCTTATACTTAGGCATATCTAACATTAATCCATGGCTTCAAGAAGATCTCAAAGCACAGATTTCCCGAGCACTGCAGCAACCCTATAAAATGGCCGACAAATTAGAGAACCTTGAAATGCACTACAATTACCTAAGCAGGTAAGGATTTTTTTAAATGGAGTATCACCAGAAAAAAAGCATCCTATGAACCATGGTAGCAGAGATAAATGAGCCTCCATACTTAACAAACATTGGTAAGGTACTTCTGATTATCATGAAACATAAAACCAGCCATTTTAAAATGTTTCAGTGGCAATTAGAGAACATTCACAGTGTGGTGCAAATATCTCTAGTTTCAAACATTTTACCATCTCCACCCAAAAAAACCCTCCACATTAGTAGGGTCATTTTTAAAGTCATGGCTTAAAATGGTGGTTATGCTGCATGCCCTACCTACAAATGAAACAACTCTAAAAGAAGGCTGTTGAGCCAGGATAGGGGCAAAAAACAAAGCCTTTGAACACTTCTGAATGGGCTATTCATGCTATTATTTATTCTCAGGGTGCACTGAGGCTTTATCTTACTGAAGAGCTATAGAGTAATGTAACCGTAAGGCAAAAAAAAAAAAAGGTTCGTTTTTTGTTCTCAACTTTGTGAATTGTGTTCTCTCCCCAGTAACAAGGATATGTTAAAGATCTGCAATGTGAGGAAATCACAATCACAAAGCCCCTAAGGTTCAAAAGAGCTGGAGGGGTTTGAAGAAAGGGAAGAAAGGAGTCCAATATGGCCGGGATGGAGGTAGTGAGGGTGAGATCCGAGAAGAACTCAGATTGGAAGCAAATAATGGGCTTCATTAAAGCCTCTGTGTCGTTTTAGGAATCTCACCATTTACACACATGAAACAGGAAGCTGTTACGACATTTTGATGAATGGGAAATAAAACATGTTTTAAAAAGAATTACTATGCATGGAAGGAGAAATCTGGCAAGTCACCACCTTAACGCAAAATAATCAAGATTAACATCATCAGTGACGTCATATGGAGATCACGTACCACCTGATATGATGCGGGAAGAAAGACACACAATATGCACAGTCAGATTTCATACAAATAAAACTATTATTAAGACAACAAAGACTGGTTAGGGCTGGATCCAGTAGCAGTGGAGACTTTGAAAAAGGCAAATTCCGAGTAACAGTTCTTCCGGAGGGCAGGAGGGACGGGCGTTTCTGATCTGAAATCAAATCTTCACCTCGGTGAATCCACAAGTTGTTGTTTTATGAACCTTTAAAACCTTTGTAAAGTTCAGCCTCTAAATATTTTCATGTATTCCTCTGACATTTTGAAATAAGATTCCGAAAGGTTATTAAAAATACAATCGCCTTTTATTCAGATTCCCCGAATTCAACATTTACCCACTTGCTGTGTCACTGTCTCTCTCTCTGCATTTACACACGCGTCATTTTTTCAATCACTTGAGAGTCAGTAGCTTCCATCATGGTTTTTACCCCCAAATATCCCCGGATGTGCTTCCTAAAGCCAAGGATATTATCTTTGATAACAATACAACGACCCAAATCGAGAAATTAACAGACTGTGCTTAGTCAAACTTCACCAATTTTCTACAGATCTTCATCAAATTTTACTAATTTCCCCAGTCTCCCGCAGTTGAGAAAAAAATCTAAATCTTTAATAATTTCTCCCCCACTCCTTCCCGCTCCAGGAGCCACGTTGCATTTAGCTTTCACAATTCATTAAATCGCCTTTAAACCAGCCCAGTCCTTCAGCCTTTCACGACCTTGACATTTTTGGAGAGAGTACCAGTCAATTTAGTTGTTAGTAGAATATCTATTTGAGCCACTTAAAGATTTCATAAATGCTTACATCTTATATACTGCACAATTACACTGCAACTCTGCGAAACACAA